TCGCTTGATAAAATCACTGTTTGTCGTTCGAATGAGCATCATTATATGACTCTGGCTACACCCTCGTGATATAATTCCTCGCATCCGACCTCCAAACAGTGATTTTATTTACTTCTTAGAAATAATTTAGCAATTATCAAATATTGCTGTTTTTCAGTAATTACCAATACAAAAGATTAGCTGTATAAATGGAAATGACAGTTTAATTTTAGTAATTTTTCCTCAGACCTTCATGTAATTGAATTTGAATTCATTTAATGATTTATGCAATCTTTTTTTTATTATTTTTCCTATTAGTTACTAAAAATATTTTTACATAGAAATGTAAGCACAAACCTTTCGAAATACAACTTCTTAAAGTCAGAATTTGTCTGATTTATAGCCATAATTCTATTAATTAAGAAAATTGTAACACATGGGTCACTGCTTTTTATTTTCATTAACGAATATTAGAAGCTTTAATTAGAAGCCTACATTATTTCTTAAATTTACAAAACAGTAGGTATCTAGAGATGTTTAAATTATTTTTAGATATTAGAATCTTCTTTTATTGGTATGTTTCATATTTGTATTTATTCTCCAGTATTTTAAGTACAAGTACTATTTTACCAATATTCGCTAGTACTGTACCCAGTACTCAGAAAAAAATATCTGTACTTGTACTGATTCAAGTCCTGGACCTTCAGTACCCATTGCTCATGAGTACATTTTACTTCTGCAATGCTTTTATACATGAATGTATAAAATGTCAAGATAGGAAATTGATTTAACTAGAGAAGATATATCCACTCCTTATCCACCATCCACACACAAAGTATTAACAGTCCGCTTGATAAACACGTTAGAGCATTGGTACATGTATAATGTATACCTCTTTTTCAAATGAAATATCATCAGATTTATTTATGGGCAATATGCGTGTGCAAATAAACATAATGAAACACTTTCCGTTGTTTGAATGTTATACTTAAAGCATATTATTGTATAACATGATAATCCATGATATTACATTATAAGCAATAATTATTTAGCTTTTTTATATTTTTATATACTTAAAAATTATGCATAGTTGTTTTTCGATCTGTTTTGCTCATATTACGTATCATGCGCCCGATGTATGTGCATGACACACTGAGTGAATGATATGCAAAATACAAAAAAGGAAAGAAAATGTGTAAGATGCACACAACAATAGGAAACAATGTACACGATTAGGCATTTTTAAATTTCGTAACATTTGACTTTTTATACACTGTGACCATCACCGTGTGGTCAATTATAGAACAATTTTCTTTACTTTCGATTTTTTTTTGCGTTATTTTTTCTGTACGATATTCATATAGCTTTATGCTCAGGGTTTAGTAACAAATTCATAGACAAACGGGTGGCACTATTTTCTCCTTTTTTGGACATTTATAAGTTATATATAGTTGCTATCCAATAAATTTGTTTTTTCCAATACAATATCAGAAGCAGTTAAGTTCCTATTACAGATTTTGGAATTTCTTTCGTCGTAGTAAAATTATAAATATATTATGTTTTAAATTTATTATATTTGTTTTATGATTCATAAAAAGCAAAGAAGAAGAAATATGATAATTATGTTGCGTTGCTGAGATTTTATACTTTGTAATGTTTCTTTTTGTTTTACGTTGACATGGTGACAAAGGTAATGGAATTACAGGCTTTTCCTGCACTGTAATGTCTTAGAAAAAGGGGCATTTTATTCAAAAACTTTGCATGTTTTTAATTCAAAATATGTGACTGACTGACTTTGTTTTCGCTAAACTAATGAGAGAGAGAGAGAGAGAGCTCTTGAGCCATTAAAAATTTTCTAGTGTAATATCAATGAAAATATATGCTGAAATATAAAACTGTTTAAAACTTTATTCAATCTTAACTACTCGTATATATAAGTAATTGTATAAAGTACATACGTAGTAAATTAGTCACTGATATAAATTTGTTTTCTCTAATGTAATATGTTATCGTCAAGCTATTTTAAGCACATATTTTATCATTATAACATATAATGACATATGTATTTGAAGATCGGCGATTATATTAATAAAAACAAGATATATTTGTGGATGTTTTTTTTTCAAAACATTTTACAAGCATTTGTGTGCTATTTATTTAAAAGACATTATCAGAAAATGTCTTTATTTACAACATGTAAAACATATCATAAAGAGATTGTAATTTTTGAATTACCTTGTTCTATTTATGTATTTCATAATAAATATATTTTTTTAATTCCAATTTAAGTATTCTTCTTCATTATTATACGGATGATGTTATATTAAAAATAATAGAATATAATAATTTCAAGATATTTACAAATATATGGAACGGTTACTTTAAACATACATGTACAACATATTATTTTCATTAACACTGGCATTATTGTATTAGAGTCAACAATCTAAAATTATAACCATATGTTTAAAACAAATAACAAACGAATATTATTGATTGAAAAAGATATACATTTATTTACTTTTTTCTTAAATATAGTCTTATGAATGTTATACAAAATAAACAATTAGATAAATAGATAAAAAAAAACGGCGCAATTCATCAAACTATGTTATAGGGTTAACGCACGTTTTTCCGTGTTATAACGTCTGCAGAGTCCCGAGGAACGGTTGGTGCCCGAGCCCGGTAGGGCGAGGGCTCCAATAGTTTCGAGGGACTCTGCAGACTTTATAACACGAAATAAACGTGCGTTGACGCTATTATAGCATAAAATTTTAAAACAGATTCATGAAGTCGATTTAAAACAAAACACATACATTAAATCCTTGTGCTTGGACGGTATTTATCTACATGTTTTACGTATGCGTTTTATTTTTCCGGGGCCAACATCTTTGGAAATACAATTGCCCAGAACCGAACGAAATTTCGAATTTTAATTGATTTAACAAAGCTAAACATTGGAGATTTATTAACTTAAGAAAAGATACACATTGAATTGCTCTACACAAGACAAAAAATGACCGTCAGAAATTCCTATAATTATTTCTGACTGATGGTAGAAAAAAGATCAATGACATCAAAATCGTTTTTTTTTCAAGCACACACGTTTTTAAAAAAAATCAGACACTAAACATTATTCTCTCAAATAAATATAAAGAGCATTGAACAATATAAAAATCAATAAAACAACATTTTCTCATATTCATTTTGTGTTATCTTGTTTTGTAAGTTACTCGGAGGGTTTATTTACATTGACAACGGTCCTTTTCTTAGAAAGGGCGACAACTAAGATTAGCTGCGATGTCCATACGCCGTATTTCCGGCATAGTTACTTGAATGCTGCTCGCCGTTACTTATGCGATTGATGCCCTCGAATCAATAATTTCAATATAACAAAAGCGCATGACTCTTTGGCAAACAAGGCCAAATCGTCATTTTTTTGTTTACTGGGCCCTGTATGTATTGCGCATAGGTAAAACTGGGCTATAACATGAGCGCGTGACTATGTTAACACATGGTTTTAGTCCCGTTATTACATGGGCAAAAGAGGGAAAAGTAGCCGATTTTATGCTATAATTTGCTTTAATGAGCTTCATCAGTTGATATGATAAATAACAAAAGAAATGACGTAAACGTACCGAAAGGATGTCTACATTAATAGACATCACAATTGGCGCGTTAAAAATCAGTATATAATAAAATAAATCGTATTTTGCTATTTTATACAATAAATCATGTACACGTGTATATGTAGACGTAATAATTTAAATAGCACATATATTTTTTCGAAAATATTGACATGGAAAAAAGGATCAAAAGATACATACATTTTCACAGAGAAACTAGGCTAATAAATTGATTCAACAAGTGTGAAAATAACAGCTACTAAATATGTGAAAGTTTAGAATTTCTAAAAATACTTGTCTTAACTACAATTTCAAATTGTAAAAAGGGAGCTAATAAATTAGAAATCACCAAAATTTATACAATATATACAGCATATCATAAAGAGGTTTAATTAACATTGTTCTATTTAAGTAGTTCATATGAAAAATATTAGCACGAGCTAAAAACATTTACAATGTAAAACTGTACTGTACAACTGTACAAACTACTTATATAATAAAATTTGTTCATCAAAAATAATTAATGATCTGTGCAACAATGCTGTGGGCAAGTCCTGCTTCTACAGATGTTCTTGTATTAACGCAAAAAAATGTTATAAAAAAGATTAAGATAATATTAAACGTTAATATGAAGCTGAAACAGCAAATCCACTCTACAAGGAGCTGGGTATCCCAGCTGCACAGAACATGTCGACACAGACGGCATTTATCCAGTGATAGCAGCAATGGTTATAATGCACTTTATTGGTACCCCAAGTAATGATTTTGATAAAATTGTTTGAATTGATATTCATAACACGATGCTGGAAATTACAGAAGCGGTGTCTTGCATTTTATTAGTACAGCCTTTCATAGTTCAATTTCACCTGTTTAATTATTTAAGTTCTTCCGGTAGCTTGAATAATGACCATGTTCCAAACAATGTCTGTAGTCTTTCTTATTGTTACTTCAATTTAACTCTAATCAATTTCATATGGGTTGCCAATCACTAAAAAATGAAATCGTTGAGGATCTAAATGCAGAGTTTTCATTTTCTCTTTCAATATCTCTTTGTTGCGCTATAATAAAATAAAATAAATGAACTCACTGAACATCAACTGAACCCTTAAAGATAACTTTCATATTGTTATATAGTTGCTATCAAAGTTGCTTGATAAGTCATGTGTAATATGTTCTATAAAGTTTTACAAGGTCATGATCGTATGATTCGCAAAGTCAATGTGAGCTAAACAGAAAGCTATATATTTTTCACAATGCATTCAAAAAATCAATGTAGTTTCAATTAATGAAAATAACCTGTCTCATTACCTTGGTTATATTATACATAACTGCTTCGGAAAGGACCAGACAGATAAAAATGCTGTAGGATGTGTGTACCAATAATTTCACCAAATTAGCCGATACAATGTGTTAAAACCAACTACTTTCGATACAGATGACAGTCGTAGTACTCAATTTTCTTTACATTATAATGAATTTACTTAGGAAGAGTTTCTTTTCATTTTAACACTGTTCTGTTCAAGTATGTTTACCTCATGACGATAGTCCCAGTAGTGCCATGTTACTATACCAAATGATGTACATGGTTGAAGTATTTTGTGCATTTCTAAAATTTCATCAATTTCGACACTAAACTCAGGTGAACATGACATGTTGCTGAAACAATGAAAGAAGAGTTAATTAAGGATAATAGAAAGCATTTTATGATGCTAGTTAAACGGAAACATGCCAAAACAATCAATTCTCTTGATAAAATGAAATCCTTTATAACTGTTTTTTTACTTGAACACCAGCGTTTTATTGACTAAAGAACTATAAAAAATAAATTAAACATCTAGCATTCAGACAGTCACCAAAACTATAATTATAAAACACTGATATGTAATTATTCCATTGCAAAAAAAAACATTAAAAGATTCCCCATATGTTTCACCATATTAATTCGAACAAAATGTGTAACGAAGTTTGATAGTTAAGGTTGATGTTTGTGATTGTTAATGATAAATTCTCTTACCGTTTATAAAAAGTAATAAATTACTTAACTGGTGCTATTAACTGAGGCTAGTGTCTCAACTACAAAACTGAATGTCATTATAAGGGAGCATTTAATTAATGTACAAGTAACATTTAGTACTTAGGACCTTCCGGTAATAGTTATATATTACGAGCTGTCGTAAAAATGTTAAATCTTCATAACCCGACATTTCTTGTAAGATAAACACAAGTTAGACTAAAGTTATCATAGTATTAGATCTTTTACACTTAGAAAAGGACCCAAAAACATTCCGTTTAATTGAAAGTAAAATGAGAAAATCAATAACATATTTATTAACGGATTTAAATAAAAACATGACACTGATTTACAACCTTTTGTGGCACAAAACACAATGCATTTTGAGCAGCAATTTTGTTGTTTCAGTTTCCATAACGCTTCAAATACACATAAAATAACGCCTCTTCATAGTTTAAAAATATTTATTATATGATCTAAATATAGCTGCAATCTCATTGGTCCAAACAGTAGTGAACAGAACTTTTTATAAAATCATATTTACTGGGTGTAGTATCATATTCACTGGCTGAATTGGATTTTCCCCAGTTTAAAAATAGATTTGGACTCATATTCATACACCGTAGACTGTTAAATACGCGTGTTACTTAAAACATTATTGTTGCTTTTTGTTCTTTATGGCATATTTCTCGATTAAAATATCAATACATTACCATTTTACTTAAAGGCTACACCGCAATGATGAGTATAAACTTGAATTACTTTTGTATGCGCAGCGTTCGCGAAGTCGTTGCACGCCTAACACGTGCGTCTTTTTTCCCGCGCTTCAACGAGGCAAAATTTGTACATGTATATCATGTATATAAGGTTGTACTTTTCGTGATTTTTTTTTATTTCTTAGCCTATTCATATAATAAAACAATTATTGACTAGTCGCCTCGGTCAATATGTCATCTGCCGGTGAATATCACATCATATTCAATGGCTCACTAGTCAATAATTGTATAAAGTGTTTGTGAACGTCGTCATTATAACGTTCTTATTTTCTATCATATTTTATCCCGTTTATCACTTTCTCTTTCCTTTTGTTAGTTATTTAAACCAACACTTCTGAGGAAACGATATAGTGCAGATGATATAAGGAGTCAGTATTGAAAATACATTAAATTGGCACTCTCATATTGATTCGCATGCAAAACGATTAACACTTACAATTTACCTTTAAAACGCAACAAATACTGTTGTTACTATAAATAAATTGTTCCAATATTTGACTATAATTGCTCTCTTTGGGGTAAAGATATCGAAATCTACATTTAAAAGTTACACATGTAAGAAAATCGAATTGCAAACTTAATATTAAAATCATTACGTTCAACAAAGGTTGGTAAGTTTAAAAGCTTTGGCCGATGCAAATATCATAGCGCTATACTTGTATCCATTAAGCTAGGGCATACATGATTTTGATTGTAACTTTTTTTCTATATTCTTCGTTCAACTATACAACAAACCGCGTTCCAATTATATTAAAATACATTATCTTACTACACTATGAAAATATGAAAACATATTCCACATAGAATGAAATGAAGTACTTCAAAGCAATCTTTCAAATATGAATTTAAACACTTTCTAATGGATATTAATGTTAAATAATAAACTTAACGGTTATATGTGTATTATTATCTATTGGGGTTAAAATGAACCGTCTACAAAATTTGTTACGGACTTTTGGGACAAACCTCGTATTTTTACAACTATATAAATCATGCGTGTCTGTCGTAGAATGTTTTGTAAACAAAAATCATATCGATTATTTATTTAAGCAATATATTAATGAATAGATATGCTAGTATTTAACTTTTGTGGTAATTTGTACTGTTGTTTTTGTTGCCTTTTCCTCCTTTTTACTTTATTTTTCTTGTAGTTATTTATTATACTTATAAGTTACTTTTTTCTTTATATGTAAGACAAACTGAAAGTTAGGTTAATTGTAGTATTTATTAACTCTGTAAACTTATCTGTTACCTTCTTGAAATAAAGATTTTATTATCATTATTATGATTTTTATAATATCCAAAGAAGGAATAGATATGATATGATAGATGTGATATTTTGCGAACAAAACGTCAGATACTTGGAATATATGTTCTGTACATAACAAATTGCAGACAATTTTACGTATGCCTGGAATTCAGGTCTATGTCTTTAATAATAAGAATTTGAAAGTTCTTAATGTTCATATTTCAAAAGTTAAAGAATGCATATAGCGAAACAAAATAAATTATGAATCTCATATTTAAACTATATTTTAAAAATTCTGGCTTTATTGTGAACCGTCCATGAAATTTGTCACGTGAGTTTTTGACCGCCCTTGTAAGAAGTAAACGGTGTCCTAATTTTAAATCATCCCACTCATTTACCCTCTACCACATATATACGCGAAACAACGCACTTTCGACCCCCCCCCTCTTTTTTGGGCCTCAAATAGTAAAAAAATGTCCTATTTGGGCCCCAAACATAAGTTTTCGTTTGAGAAATGTTGCTAAAAAAATTAAGCACTTTTTCGGCGCCGCCCCCCATGCAAAAGATACATCAGGGGGTTGCCAGAAGGGGGATGTGCCCCCTTCTGTTAGAGGGGTTTGAAGGGGGGCGGAGTCCCCCTCATCGCCAAGAAAATTTTGGACTTGTGAGAGGCTAAAAATGACCCCAGGTCGATCATAATGTAAGTTTAACCAACGCTGAAAAGCTTTTGACTCTATCTCAATCCCTTGAGAAGTTGCAGCACTTTGAAATAAATTTTGATGGAAAAAATCGAGGCAAAATAGTGATTTTTGGCAATTTTGAGATGTCCCCTCGTTGCCATGGTAACAGGAAATTTAAGACTGAGCATGTCGTTACAAAGGCAATCGTCCAGTCAACATTTGTGCTAAGTTTGATTAGTATTGGAGCATTTTTCATAGTTTCATAGCAGTTTGAACTTGTTACAGGAGGCTTTTCAGTGAAAACGGCCATTTTTCACAATATGCTCATGGGGTTAAGGGTTAAAAACTCTAAAAATCATCCCATTTTGTAATTGTTTAGACCGATAAAATTTGAATTCAAGGGTTTAACTGCATAAAGGAATTGATTATCAATTGCTTATAATCGCATTATGCACATTTTTCGGCTATGTAGATTCACTAATATTGAACAATATTGAACAATTCTGTTTGGTAAAACTAAATGAAATACCTACTCGGATTCATTTGATATTGGCAGTAAAGCCAAATGAATAGGACCGTGTCGTTCTTTCACCCTGGAGAAGTTTGTACCGTTGTAGTTCGTAAACCCAGCCGAATAAAACGTCCTTGTCGATCCTTTCACTATCCAACCACATGTATTACACTTACCGTTCAATAGAAAATAAAGGTCACTTAAAATGAATCAATAATTACAAACGCTAACCATTTATCTTCTCAAAACTTAATTTGAATACATTAATACAGAAACTTTGAATTGTGTATTAGAACATATAGCAATATTTGCATATTTACTTGCTAGATACATCCAGTTAATGATTTAGTGTCAATAATATGCATTTGAGATTTGTAACGTTATCGATAATTAAGATAATGAATTTGAATATAAATAAATATTATAATTACCATTTTACTGCCAGATGATACACTATTTCTATGTGTGGGTGTGCATACAAAAGAAACATTCTGGTGCCGAATGTTAAAAATTTTCTCATCCCAAAATTTGAACAATGTAATACTTGTAATATCAACTCCTTGACGAATAAGCCAGTCTTTTCTTTCTAGCGGAATAATCCATTTCACGTTCCTGTTCCTCTGGACTACTTTCCTGACCAATAAATCTGAGAAACTGTACGCGCACATACTCAACGCTACAACATCAACTTCGAAATTGGGATTGTTATCTATAATACTCCGGTTTAATTCTCTTAGATGTTTATCTGCCATCACTTCTGTGTCAAAAGGGTCAAATAGGATGATCAATCCATCAATCTTGAGAACGACATCTTGGAATGATCCAAAACTTACAACTTGGTTTCTGCTGGAAGAGAGACGTTCTCTTAGGCGGGAGAGATTGTCATAGTAGTACCACAATTTCCATAAGTTATGCAGCTTTAACAAAACATAAAACATTATTTCATTTCTACAAGGAAAATGTAAAAATTGTATTGATTTAATGTTTATTTGCGTGATAATATCAAACTAACATACATGACATATGCATAAAATAACAATAATTAATTATCATTACATTTGCTATTTGACCTATTTTTTGTTAGCTTATTTTTCATTTACGTCTGAATATGTCAGTCTTAAGAACTGGGTTTTAAGCAAACAAATATTTCAAAATTGAAAAAAAGTTCTCTGAATGATTTTGATGATTTTCATATTCATAACAAAATTATAAAAACCACTTCATACCTGTTCAGTGGATAACACATGTATTATATTTAACTTTATGTTCGTTTACAAACACCAGCATATCTCAGATCATCGACAATATCGTAAAAATAAAGGTATTATGTATTGTAACATAATATTATTTATATGTAAGGGAACCAAACTCTGGTGTTAGGCTTATCGTGCTTAACTTATAAGACCTAGTTGGAACAAACTTCATTTACGTTATAGACATTCGCTTGAGAAGTTGATCTGTTGTGTATGGAACATGGGCATAACATACGACATGCCGTTTCAATAACCAATATTTTCAAAACTGTCGAATGGTTACAAAAGATTTGATATATTCATTGTACATAGGCGACCAAAATTGAAGATATTGAAATGCTTATGATAACTGCATAGTTATTAGTAGTAATTAAATATATCAAAACTTAATAAAACCATCAAAGTTTTTTAATCAAACTTTATCCGATATGCTCTCTACGTATTGTGTTACACTAGAACTAGAATTTACAGACATTATGAAATGTTTTCCAGTGAAAATACACCTCAATCTCAGTTAAAGATGTGTGCGGGCAATGCGTTTATCATTAATCTTCATGTTATAAGGAAAATCAATGATCCCCGGGCGGAGCCAATTTTAACCTCAGGGCCCTTAATTTAACAATAATGGTAGACACCCATTAAAAGATGTTTCATGCTAAATATCTTAGCTCTAGGTCTTAAGATTTTGTTTAAAGAAGATTTTTTAAGTTTTAACAATATACATAAAAGGAAAAACAATGACCCCCTGGGGCGGGATTAATTTTGACCCCAGGGCTTTCATTTGAACAAACTTGGAAGACACCCACTAGAAGAGGTTTCATGCTTTATAGCTAAGCTCTAGGTTTTTGGATTCTTTAAAAGAAGATTTTAAAGTTTTTTTCTAAATACATATAGGGAAAATCAATGACCCCCTGGGGCGGGGCCAATTTTGACCCCAGGGCTTTTATTTGAACAAACCTGGTTGACACCCACTAGAAGATGTTTCATGCTTAATAGCTAAGCACTTGCTCTTTGGGTTCTTTAAAAGAAGATTTTTTTACTATATGCATATAGAGAAAATCAATAACCCCCTGGGGCTGGGCCAACTTTGACCCAAGGGCTTTTATTTGAACAAACTTGGTATACACTCACTAGAAGATGTTTCATGCCAAATATCTAAGCTCTACCTCTTTGGGTTTTTTTAAAAGAAGATATTTTAAGTTTTTTCTTTCGGTACCAGAGGTCTGCATGGAATTAAATTCTTTGAACAATTTTAAAGGTACCACCAAAGGAACATTTCTGTGAAGTTTGGATGAAATTGGCTAAGTGGTTTATGAGGCGATGTCATTAAAGTAAAAGTTTACGGACGACGGACGGACGAAGACGGACGGACGACGGACGGACGAAAAGTGATCACAAATGCTCACCCTGTCACTTTGTGACAGGTGAGCTAAAACGCAAGTTAACTATTTTATTTTGTTTCAAATGCACACTATGAACCAGACTGTTGAAAGTAGCACTGGATGTGCAGTAATGTGTAATAAAGGTAGCTCAACGAAATAAAGTAGTATTATGACTTAAATACAAAATACTTAATCACTATAATTATGCGAATTCCCAAAGAACAAAAGAAGGAAAAGATGGTTCAACTATATATTTGATATATGATTTTCAAAAGAAAAGTTTGAAGTAATACAAAATGACATCATTTGAGGGGCTTACAGTCTTATAAACTCATCAGTGTAAGATTCTGTTTCACCGAATTGCATGCAAACACTTACGTGTAGTCTTTCCAAGCATCTGTGTCTTTCGAGCAGAGACACTTTTTCTCGCAGTTCTCTGTTTCCGTTTATCTCAGAATCTCTGCCATATTTCTATTTATAGCAATTGGATAATCATGAAATATATACGGTTAAACAGGAAGTTTAACCTTTAAACAGTTTCGAAAAGAGACTTGTCAATTTAAGTACGGTTACTTTAGTTACTGTATATACAATTTAAACCGGTTCAGAAAATAAATAAACTTTCCTATCTATAGTATAGTTACCGTACTGTGTAAACACTTTGAACAGGTTCGAAAAAGAGAAATACTTCTGATAACTTTTTAAAGTATAGATTAGAATGGCATGGCATGACATGGTGTGGCATGGTATGCTTTAGTATATTACAGTAAAGTACAGTACAGCAGAGTATAGTGTAGTGTAGTATAGTATAGTAAATATATATTTTAACATGTATGAAAAACAGAAAACCTTCCCAATTTAAGTACTGTTACTGTGTATACACTGTAAAAACTTCCCTATTTTAATTTATTAAATGTTTATTAACTTTAAAAATGTTTAAAAAGAGAATATTACCTTTTAAGATTTAAATGTATTGTGTGAAAATGTCTTAGATTTTTCTTTTTCATTTTAAAACCAACAGTTTATTATATATGATTATATAAATAGGTAAGAAAAGTATACCTGCAAAACCGAAATCTGAATTTATAATTATGTTATGAATAGCACTTATTGTTAAAAGTCATAAAATAACGCCTAAAACGTGAAATGAAAAATAATACAAGTTCAGTATCAACAAACGTAATATCCGTGTATATTTTTAGATATTAAGATTTATGAAGGTTATTTGGCCCTGAGTAACGTTTTTTTTACATATTTGAACCAGGCCCTATATATACACGAACATTTAACACGACAAGAATCCTTATAACGAGTTGATAATACAGCAAACTTTCTTTATAAGAAAAACAGCAACATACATTATAACAAGAAAAAAAACTCGATAAATTGACATCAGCCGTTTGTATTTATACATACTTCACAATTATCCAATACAACAACGACGTTTCAAACGTGCAGTGTTAAAACTTGATAAAATATAATGTTTTGTGTGAATTTGCTCATATTTTGTAAAAAAAATATAATCAATCAAAACCATTTGTCAATTGTTTAAAATTTTCCAAAAGAAGTTTTAAATTAAGTAATAATGGCGTTTGATTCAGTTTATCTTTTATTATCAAATATAACATTATGTAACAGTTTTATATTGACATCGGGGTTCGTGAAAATCCCAACGAACACCTTTCAACGGTTGTTTCTAATCATTTCAAGCAAGTATACAATATATATACGTACACTAGGAAAATATATACAACTAAGCTAATAACAACGTAAGTATATTTTATCATTCTGCATGATTAATTACAACAAAAATCATAACAAGCGTCCATTCTTTACAAAAATCTAAAAATGTGTTTCTTAAAAGCTATATTAATGATTAAAATGAAATTAACTTGAGATTTAAGGTACTCGTTCTGTTTATAACTACTTTGCACTTTTACTTTCAAGGTTATTTATGGTATTCTTAAATAAGATTTTCCTGTATTTTGACCAACTGATAAGCTATCGTCACATTTTTTCTGACTCCAAGTTTTAACAGTATTATGGTTCAAGTTTTGATCTGAACCTCCTCTAAGGGTTTACAGTATTATTGTTCAAGATTTAACCTTACTCTCAAATGTTTTAATGTATTATGGTAGCATAAAATTAACGCATATCTTTACAAAGAACAAGTTAACGTTACTTACTTGTCTTTCAAGATCTGTTTCAAGATTTTTCAGCTTCAGTTGTAATTCTTTGTTTTTTGATATTTCTTCATCTACAGAAGACCTCTAAAATAATAGATGCAATGCAAGTCATTGTTTTATGATTTGTCATAGTCAAAGTTGGAATTGTTCAACATTAAGAAAAATGCAAAACATTTCCAAAATCATGTCATTTGATTCTTCTACAACGGTACTCTTATATTTTCTGGAAGTTGTTTTTACAAAAAATGAGCAATCTAAGTATCATAAAATATGCAACATTTTGATTAAAATGCCGTCCATTGTGCCAATGACTCTTTACTGGTTTCCCATGTTTATGATCAATTTTTCACTTTAAAAAAGGTCAGAAATGATGTTTCTACATAGCGGCCTTCACCCTTTTTATTATTTTTTTGTTGAAAAAATAATTGTGCATTGCTTCAACTAAGTATTTAAATAATTTTATCTTGAAAAGAGCATCATATCATCGTCAAGTTGTCTTCAAAAGAGCGTTTCGAAAAATATTTAAAGCGCGTCAATGACGTTCGTTTTTAAAAATAGAAGATCGGGAAAGGAATTGTCCGCTTTACTTATTAACATATAGAGAGCGGACCGGTAGAGTAATTTCTACTTGTTAATGTAATTTATCGATAGCAAATTTCATTTTCCATTTTAATGATATGATTTGATTATAATAAAAAACGGAAAAGCTGTAGGCCGCTAAAAGGATTATTCATATGATCTGTATTATAAATATTCATTCTCTGCATAAATTACAATACCAGTTATTATAAGGAATAAAAATAGACATCAAATTATACATACCATTTTTTCCATCTCCATTTTAAAATTAAAATTGTCCTTTTTTAATCGTTCGTTTTCTTGTTTAGTGTCTGATAATTCTGTCTTCGCTTGTGTTGATAAAAAGTTCTAGAAAAAAAGTTTATATTCAATATTTACATATTTTCGTCTCGTTTTTTTTTCCTTTTCAGTCTTGTCTTTCAAACTGCGATCGAACCAATATTATGATTTAAAGACATATTATTTACGTTGATGATAGGCAACCCCATTATTGTGCTTTACAGTTGCTTCTTATGGGCAAGTGCAATACCGTTTATTTTTCCAAATTATATTACGTGCATTTTACTTGCTGTAGGTTTTCAAGCTGCGAGACATGTTGATAAAAAGCTTTTTGTTACTTGAAAACGCAAATATATTCCGACACTAGTTTAGCACTAGGCAAGTGTTTTACATAACTACAGTATAACTATAAATACAAGACCAAAGGAAATATTTGCGCCAATTTTCCCCGGCTTCAGTTTTGACCTGCCTAACTATGATTGTGTAAGTAGAATGCAAATCTCGTTTAAAACTTAAAACATTTCGTTTCATTTCAAATATTTTGGTTGTGTATGGAAAGAGTTTGTTCATGTAACGATGGTTGGTTGCAATTATTTACATTAATTGATCATTGAATGGATAGATCCCTACTCTGACCTCTTTTTTGATTAACAAAAACTTTAACCACAATTATTGGCATGTGCTCTTCTGTTACCAAATAGGTTATAATGAAATTCTTATTGTATCCACATATCTGATCATTAAAATAAGACAGGCCAGGAATCTAAGCATTAACAACTAATGCAAGGTTTGTTATCGCGTGATTAGTGTATATAGAAAAACAGAAAGCAAATGTGTATCCTGCCATTAAAAGAAGGTAGCAAAACGGAATACAATACGACATAGTTGTTAATATATAACATTGACTATGTTTGAGCGGGTTGACTACAATTAAAGAGATGTGTTTCATTGAACTTAAGCATTACATGACAGTCACTTTCATATTTTGCCGTGTATGGTTGTATTTAAAAGTTTTTTATTTTACTTGTTTAAATGCATGTTTGTCCATGCGTCATGTAGAAATATATGCAAAATACCACTAAAACGTACTTGTCTTTCAAGTTCCGCTTCGAGTTGTTTCATTTTATCCTGTATTTCTTTGTTTTCCTTCATTTTGGTTTCTTTCTTGGATTTCTGAATAAATTATTTTAATTGGTAATACTTATTTGAAACTATTAAGTAAACATTTTACAAAATGAAAAATAACATGAACGAAAATGTAGTTTTTAAATATTTGTATCGAAAGTTAAGTCGAACATTTTATTATTCGTTACATACTGTGACATTCATTGAATACAAATAATTTTAAAAAAATTCATATATGCAAATTTAAAGGAAATGATTATCAACATTATTTACTAAATGAAAGAACACATATGCTTACTTCATCAGCTATCTCAATTTGCAATATTTTGTTCTCTGCCTCCAAAGATTCTATTTTCTGCTTTAATTCTAATAGCTCATTAGGCTCTAGTGTGGATATCATTTCCTATAAAGGAAAATATATTTGACATTTTTTTAGGAAATCAGAAGCAAAAGACGATAATCATGTCCAGCTGTTTTCGTCTAATCTTGGCTGCCTGATATTTATCGTTGCGTAAAAACGTTAACAGTAAACTATAAATATGACAGTTGTAAGATTGTCCAACAAAAATATAGATGTGATTTTACTATTCAATTTGAAATATAATGTAGATAAAACAGTGCTAACCTCCACCTGTGAGAGCAATGAAGAGATTAGTTCCTTTGAAGATGAGACGTCCATGCTTTTGATGTTTGTAGGCAGATCAATGTCCTTTTCGCTGTTATTCAACATACATTTTATAATTTCCAGAACGTTTTTCACAAGAAGCTTATATTCGAAGTTTTCATAGTCGGCATTATCATGCTGCATCTACAACAAAATTAGTTATGAATTCTTATATTAAAGACTTGTTCAGCTATAAAAGATTAATCAAAAGTTCTTTGCTTGCCCAATATCTAAGTCTTGTTTAGCAATTGTCGATCTGCATTATAAAGCTGTTAATTACATTGAAATTAAATTGAAAATAACCAATAACCTTTAGCTGTTTACCTTTTATGAACATTGATAAGCAATTCAATTTCAAATGATGAGAAATGTTATTTCAAACTTTTTTAATATTTTATTTCAATTAGATAAAACAATAAATGTACCTTTTCTATATCCTCCAATCCGTATGAACACGACTGGCAATTATTTTGCCAATGGCGCAAAAGAACCAACAATTGATCAATCAACACTTCCAGGCCTTCTTTTGAAATGAGCAGGTCTTTTGCATATACAAATTTATCGATGTTTTCCAAAACCTTTAAAAATACTGAATTATTCAACAATAAGCCTTTAATGCAAACTTCAAACTATTAAAATTTGCCGCTCTTTGAAAAGAAATCTATAAACTGTTTTACCAAATGCAAGATATCAACGGGTTTAATGTAACATACAATATGTATTTATATGTGTTTGTGACATAATGTACATAATGTTAATATATTTCAAATAACTTATCGATTCAGTGAAACTAACGAACCATTAAAATTATCTATAAAAGATCTAAAATCACATGTGTCCCTGCCCTGTGGATTTTTTATATTGCGATAAGTTTACATGTTATACTTTTTGACGATTAGATTTCTATCAAATTCAGTTATTTCATATATTGTCAATAAAGACATTTTCTCAATCGTCAGAAAAAGATCTGGAAACAAAGTAATCCTTCGGAAACATAAATCGTAACAAAATAACATGAAAATTGCAGACTCGGTTTGATTGCGTCTGTACACGAGGGATAATGAATAAGTGCAACATCCCTCACGCCCGGTAGTACCGGCTTGATCGGTACTCAATTCTCAAAACTTAATGATGCTTGTACCAATAATCCCGAAGGACCGGACTCTTAAGACTGTAAGACTCTTACCTGACTATAAATTCTCTCAGAATCTTTGAATGCAAACATCCTGCAATTTTTCATAAGTTTAATTAATGTTTTTGCATCCAGTTCTGGGCCATGTAGTTTTAAGTCCTGCATTTTTACACAAATGAAACAATTAGCCAAATCCCAGATAAAATTAAAGCCGTTGTCAGTGTTAGAAAAATTCTCTGGCGTCTCTTGTAATGAACTTTCCACATCTTGCTCAACAGGTATATCTCCCGTGACATAAGAAAGTTTTCTTAACCTGGTGTATAGCAAATCACACGTTTCGTGACCACAACCAAGAGTGCTTGCAAAGTCTAGTTTCGTGCCATGGTGATTTATACATTGGATAAATCTGCCAAGTTGATCTTTCTCTGTATCCGGGAGTCTAACAATGAAATGTTTCCACTGTTTTTCTATCAAGTCGCGAAATGATTTCCTTGCTGTATTTAGAGCATGAACTCCGTGCACTAAGTTCTGAAAACCTGGCTCATACAAGAACTCGTTTAAAGACTTACATCTAGAATATAAAAAGAAAGAATACATATTAATATGTTTTTTTCTCTGTAGTTAAAAAAATATTCAGAATCCGATTAAAATTAACATAGAAGATATTTTTTTGAATTCGTGGAAAAGATTTGGAAATTATCGTTTGGACGTTTGCTTTTTTTTTAAACTTAGGAGAGGTTGAATGGAGAATTGTTATAATCAATGCACTAAATGATAATTGCATACATACCTGAAGGCCAGCATATCGAGTATGTCGCGTTAGCAACCAATAAAACACATTTATAGCATCCAAATTCATTTTCTATTAATATTTCAAATAAACATTTAAAGATATAATCGATAAGGAGATATTGAAAAAATCCTTCAATAATAATGCATTTATTTCCTGGTGAGTTTTACTTAAACGTTTTGAAGCGTGTTTTTACAAGGTGTATCGTTTATCTTTGTGTTACTTTGTTACTTGCCTACGCCTGGGTGAATGAATCGAATTTCCGTGTTCTTGTTTAAGTTTTCTTTTACAATAAACAACAGAAAAAAGAAGAAAAAAGTCATCAATTATCGTTGACAAAACATTTCTCAAACCTCGTAAGCATTGCAAAGGCCCTTCAGTATCTATAGACAACTATTTTTTATACAAATTCATAAATACACTTTGATTCTTATTTTGCATTTCGGTCAAATTTGGCTTGAATTAAACAGATAAATACGCAACCGCTTTTGCGTAATAGTATCTGAAAATAAAGGACCTAATCTCAACCTCTTCAAGTATCTCAAGTATCTCCACATTGTTACTGTTTAGCTAATGAAGAATTTGCCACCTGACTATAATATGACATCTTAGCACACTACAGGATGCTAAGAACTACTTTATGATTTTTTCGTATAAATTAAAATATTCATTTTCACATTAAATTTTGTTGATGGTTTATTTACAGCACTTGCACACAGGTTAATGACACCATAGGCACATCTAGTGAAAAATTAACAGCTCTTGAATAAAAGGTTAGAGGAGTTGTACTGAGACGATACATTGTAATATTGTAATCACTTGTTATAACACGTATTCCAAATGGCTGATAACATAACTTGAAAAAAAAATACTAAAACAGAATCTAGCAACGGATTGCAATACAAGTTGTTTCAACAAAATTTATAAAACAAATCGAGAAAGTAACGTGCATTATGATAAATTGTGAGTAGAAGTAGCAAGTTTTAAATTGAATATGCAGTAAATATTTTCTTACCTGTTGCCATCCATTGTTGTTTTTAAAACATAATTTTCTTAAATAATCACTCTATAATATCAATATTTAAGAGGTATGTTGATCGCAAATATAGAGCTTCACTCATTTATACGCGTTGGTTTCAATAAACTAATAAATACTGCCAACGGCAATTTCACATTCAAATTAGGGATCTAGTACGTTTCCTGATTTAATGGTGCCTTATTCAGAACATGTTAATGCTCTTGTTTTTTATGTAACGTGTACAATTTCCTATAATCTTAGCTTTTTATTATTATACATCCACTGTTCTCTACTGCACAAAATAAATACACTTTCTTAAATAATCCTCGTTTTTTTCATCGCTTAAACATATCTTTTAACAAAATTATAAAGGCGTGTAATACACCGTCACTAAACAAACATTGATATTGATCGTAGAGGTATTTCTTTTCATAAACAACTGTATGATCAAACTCCTCAAAGCGGTTACGTCACGCTTTGCTACTTTAACCACTGCCACCACTGAAATCACGTGATGATAGTTGTATCATGTGACAAAAACATGGCGGCCAGTTTCAGAACGCCAAGGATCCCATATCAAACTGGCAGATTTATAAAATTACATCCTTACCGGACAAAATAAGTTCAAGACACTCAATTTGTTATCACTTTAAAACAAGTGCCGGATCAAATCTTTTTGTGCAATCGTTCAATAACTGTTTATATTCTGCCATTGTTTACTGGTTGTTACTATGCATACGGTGTCACAGTGAAAATATCTTTCGTTATGTTTACAAAATAATTTTTAAACGTATAATTTTTTACTTTCTTGTACATTAAGCATAACTATTTTACGAAAGAAAACTAAAATGATATAAAGTATTCTATTTTAAAATTAAAAGTGAAAAAAATATATCCGGCTATATTCGACCGAATTTACTTGTGGTGGCAGTGGTTACTGTACTGATCAGGGGAAGTAACCGCTGCGAGGAGTTTGCTGTATGATATGATTCATCGTGTTCTTTAAAATCAATTTAACTCTTGATATTTCACATAACATTCTTAATTCCTACTATATGATATTGCCAGGACATTAATATTTCTTTTTATTTCTTCAAAGTATTATTGCTAAACAAAAAAGTAGAACAACGCAAAGGATAACGTAAGTCACACTTTTGTTTCGTTTTTGAGATAGGTTTAAAGAAAACTTGTTTAAAAAAAAACAAATTTTGGTAGTTTTACAAATGGGTTTTATGTTAGACTACTACGGTGTCCTGTAAGGGCCATCGCGAGACACACGTTACTCGAAACATTGACAACACGATGAAAAAAGTTGAATGTTGATGTTGCACATCAAAGACGCCGTAAAATGGTGTGACAGTCACAGATAAGTATAGGATATCGACCGAGTACGAAATCTTCCTGTTTAGGAAAGACCTGGTCACGAATTTCATGTGATACCGAGGGCGCGTAGCGCTCGAAGTGTTTCATGAAATTCGTGACTAGGTCTTTCCTAAACAGACAGGACGATGTACGACGTCGATATCCAACTTACACACCGTAAAACCTAATTGGCTTGAGCAATTGCTGATCCGAAGCATTTGATGTAATACACAAATATCATTTTTAACACAACGCATATACAGGTAAGCTTTTATCAACGTTCTCCTTAAATACAATATATACATGTATTTTGCAATTAAATTTGCTTTTCCCTTTAAAATAATAATCACAAAGCTAAATGTGCAATTTGTCAATAATAAAGTGAATAGGTCTGTAATGGAAGGTATATTAAAGAATGAAATGGGATACTGGAAGAATTGCTTAGTGCAGTCAATTAACATTGATTGTCTTGTTTAAATAATGTATCCCGATTTTGTAAGACAGGAACATTATGACAATCATTTACATGCTATTTCAACTTTTAATGTTTTTTTTTTGTTTTAGTTGCATTTCATGTTGTCTTTGTCTGGGCATTGGCATGTCTATTTTTCACGTGTATTTCATGACTGACTAGAACAGACCTGTCCACGTGCAAAAGATTTACCTCATAACGCACTTTCTTTTGTTTAAACAGGTCTATCCCCAAAATAAAAACCTGTCACAAACAATAGAGGAGGTGTGTAATGTACGAAATCAACATTGTGCTCAATTACAGTCGAATATCCGAAGCACTTTTTAACTTTTCTTCGTGTTCTTTGTATGTGCTCGAAACAATAAAAAGACGATATATTAATGATCATTATGAAAAGTCGAAATAACGATGGTGAAAAGTTGAAGGTACAATAATTAAAATCAAAACCACGATGATGAAAAGTCGAAAACACACTGTGAAAAGTCGAACACGACGAGGAAAATGAAAACTACGATGGTGAAAAGTCGAGCCCAACAATGATGAAAATCGAAACCACGATAGTGAACAGTCAGATTAACGAAACCGTGATGGTGTTAACATCAGTATAATTTAGTAATTTCTCCCATCTAATTTTTAACCTTTCACCATCGAGATTCGATATTTCAAATCTTTACATATGTACTTTTGACTTTCTATCACCGCATTTTCGACTTGAATCCATATTGGTTTCGTTATATCGACTTTTCATCGTCGTCCTCATTGTACATTCGACTTTTTATAATCGTGGTTCCGACATTCGTCATCGGTATTTCCTGTTTTCACCAGCGTTCCTCTGGGTTTTCACCATCGTTTTTTCACCTTCATATTAAACATGCGCACCAAAATAATTCATATAAAGATAATTTATGTAAAGATAAAAGATAGGAATCTATGTAATGAACATTCGAAACCACGATGATAAAATGTCGAAACTACGATGATGGTAACTCGAAATAACTAAGCCACGGTGCATAAAGTAAAAAAGTAAGGTGAAGTACGATAGTGAAAGTTCGATATAACGAAATAAAGAAACCATAATGATAAAGGTTGAAAATCAATGGGGAAATCACGAAATTAAATGAAGTTTTCATCAACGGGATTTTGTGTTTTTCGGCTTCGGTTTGTTTCTGTTTCCGTTGTTTTAAGTTATATGTTTATCGCGATGGTCCTAACGGGACACCGTAGTTTACGTATATTTGTAACGTGTAATGACAATCTTTTGTTGTTTTCACACTAATTCAAACTTAATGCAAATATTTTCTTCAGTAAGTTCAATATAATACTTAGAATACCATTTTAGTTGTTTTACTTCAGAATGTATTTTGCTCTCAATTTTACTTCCGCTTTGACTATTCATCCTCTCAAGTATCATAATATTTAGATGTAGTTTGTTGATTTGGGCTTTATTGTCCTCTACATGTATGTGTATATCGAATTCCTGGATTATGTACCAGTACAAATCTGTATGTCCATATATTGTTTTTGCTATGTCAGTGTATTATTGATATTATCAGCATTGATCTTTTCATTTTGTTGATTTGCATTTTTTTATTTGTGCCGGGTAGCTAATTACATTTACAGGAATGTTGGACAGCATGTGTAGTTGTGCACCTGGAGCTTTGCTTAAGAATGTAATCAGTATTTGTAGAATCATTGTCATTGACTTAGTTAAATTAAAAATAGCATACTTGTGTCGAGCGTAGCCCAAAAATTGTTTGACTTGGAGTCATGAAACTTTACAAAACTTTTGATCAGCATCTAAAACTATGGAGTTCTCTTTTGTATTTATTCAGTATTCGTAACTTTGACAAAGTTAAGATTTGCAAATTCATCATATGTCGCGTGTTGTGTAAAATGTTTTTCATATAGAGTCAAATTTGCAAAAACGTTTCTCAGCCTGTGTTGCTGTGCATCTTGGGTCTGCTTGTGCATTCATTTAGTATATAGAGGTATTGTTGTGCATGTTGCTTGTTTTTTATTAATTTTTAAGAATATTTTAGGGTATAAAATTGTGGTTTCAAATTCTAGTTACTGAGAAAATTTAGACATCAGTTTTAGAAAAATGGATGTCGTTGTTCATCCCCCAACTCCTTAGCGATAGTGGGGGATCATGTAAAATTTTACTTGACTGTCCTTCTGGCATACTATCCTGATTTTGTCAGTTGACTCACAAAACTGTGAAGTGTGTAGTCATCATTGTCCTAATGACATATTTGTAGTTCAATCTGTAAATAATTCCTTAAGATTCAATGAGATTAATTAAAATTTGGATTTGCAGAGTCATGACTTCTTTTAAGGGACATGCGTCTTTCCAAGTGAGATTTCTGCACTTCTAATCAATCAGATTAATCTACCTACAATGTTTCACGTTTCACCTTTTATAGTTATTGGTTTCGTTATTTCGACGTTTCATCACCGTACCTTCGACGATGGATAAAAGTCGAAAATATTGTGTAAAGTCGAAAGTAAGAATGTGATCTAACTAAACAACGAATTCGATGGCTAAAATCGAAGGGGAAAACACGAAATACATGAATCGAATTTTCACAATCGGGATTTTGTTGTTTCGATTCCTCACCATTGGTATTTTGTGTTTCCGATGTTTCGAGTTATGAAAGTCTCGCGATGGCCTTGACGGGACACAGTAATTTACATACATTTGTAACTTTTGTTTACACTAAATCAAACTTAATGCAAATATGTTAATTCAATGTTTAAATATAAATATCATTGAAGTTGTTTTACTTCATTCTTGTTTTGTTTACTATCATTTTACAGAATGTATATTACTTTCCATTTTGCCTTTGCCTTGACTGTTCTTCATCGTTATTATAATATTTTGTAAATCTAGTTAATTTGTTGTGTCTATATATCAGATCACAAGTGCTCAGTCATTCACATGTTTGTATATATAATCAAAGTATCCCTGGATTATGTTCCAGTACAAATATGTCTGTCTGCAACGTCATGCATCTATCATTTTCCACTTTGTTTTGGCTTCGGCTGCTTATCATTGACTTCATTATCAGCCTTTATCTATTCATTTTGTTTGTACAAACATTCTCACCAGAGGTCCTGCATTGTCATATATGTTCCTATCTTACGAGGTGTCCTGGAAGTACCAATATCGACTGGTCTTTTCTTTTCTACATTCTTTTCACTTCATACATTTATTTTTATAAAAAGAAAATGGACAAATTGTCCAAATCTGTTACTGGTGCTGTGCTGTGTATTGTATATAGATTTTAGAATTATTGAAAAAAATAACTAATTCCGATCAGTTTCTAAAATTTGCTTCCAGTTTTTCATCCGCTGTTTATTATTTTTATTCAATAAGTTAAAATTGTACTCTGATATAGAAACTTTGCACAAGCAATAGTTATTTGCTTGATTGCTCTAAGAAATACAATTGTTTGGGATTTATTGGCCTGTAACAGATGGTGTTCAGATATTTTTTGGTGTCCTGTTACATTTTCTAAAAAGTTCATTGTTTATATAGTTCAAATATAAAAAAACAGAAGGCCGTCGCTCAATGAAAACAATCCCACACGACGCAGCAACACAGGACCACAGGCAAAGAGCCCGGCAGGACAACATCTTTTGTTTCTTTTGCATTTAAGCATTTAATTGATTTAATGTTATGCATGGAAGTCACTTTCTTAACATTTTTGTCTACTTTTCTGACAATCTATTTCAAGATATCGCATTTTTTAAAGTTATTATCTAGTGCTAGTTTGTTTTGAACACAAAATGTATTCATTTCCTAGTCTAATTGATACGAGTGTAAACAGACAATACATCTATTTTGAGGACAACTTATGAATGGCAAAATTAAATTTTTTCATATCCCAATGGTTGAGTTGTGTAAAATAAATAAATATATCTCCTTACTGTACTGTGTTATCGTGTTTCAGTTTAACAATGAAAAACTGTAAAGATTTGATCAAAGAGGAGAGATACAGAAACTGGGTAAAAGGTACTTTGGGAATAGAGCAAACGAGCAAGGCAGTATGTAAATACGTCAACCGAAAATTTTCAATGTATTTACAAGGTACAGCTACACTTAACAATCCCGCCATACAATCCTACTTGACCGCGGACGAATTTTCACATTTTCGAGATGAAATAAAATCAGAATTTCGATATAATCTGACAAAATTTGTCGGGTTAAAAAATGGAAAATGGTACTGGAAAGGAAATTGTAAAGAATGTCAGGGCACATTGGACAAACTAATATGCTTACACAAAAGTCAGAAAGACATTCATTGGAAAAATAGTGACAACACCAAAACACTTTCGCCTGAATGGGCCATCGCAAAAATCTTTATGCCAATGGGCAATGAGAAAAACAAGGGGCAAGATGATACTGACCCTAGTGCAATTTTTAAATTGATGAAGATGTGTGATTTATTCATGAACCCAATTAGAGAAAGAAACATTGACGGGGTTAGTAACAGAAATTTCACATATATAACAAACATGCAATGCCCACATTACATTCTCAGTAAAACATAATAAATACACAAATGTTTATAGCTTTGCTAGGCTTGAGAAATTCTAGAAAAAATATCCTTTTTTGGTTAGGAAATGCAGTATTATAAAAATATTATTTAACATGACTGTATAAAATTCAATGCAATGTAGCTACAAATTTAAACTTACTTTCTACGGTTTAGATTTAACATCTTTCTTAATGATTTCAGGTTATAGATGCTAGAAACGCGCTTTTCCACTCATCTGACAATTTGGTAGAAAATGACGTCCTGGAAAACTATTTTACATCTATGGAGAACCTTATCTCTGATGCTTTAAATGACACGGATATTGATGTAGACTTAAAACGAAGTATCATTGATTGTCATGGAAAAATTGTTAAGGTAATGTTTCATATATACGCAAAATATATAAAATATCAAATATATAAGTATTTAAAGTGAAAACCCCCAATAAAGACCACCATCAGGACTGGTCCCAAAGTGGTCTTAATTGCGGGGTGGTCTTAAATGTGAATATTCTTACTGCTTACATACTTACAGACCATGGTCTATTTTAGTCAATTTGTATGAACAAACAATATGTATCTTAGCAATATAAAAGTTGGTTATAATATTTAATATGATGAGAGGTTAATATTTTTCAGAAGAAATTTGATATTGAATTGTCTTTGGTCTGATTTCAATATTAATAATTATATGATGTATAGAATAGATAAATACAGAATCCCTAAAGAAAGCCCAACACGGCAAAATTGAAAATGTTGCAGGCTCGGTTTGATTGAGCCTGTTCATGGACGGTACTGGAAAGTGCAAGTTACCGTCCACGCCCCCTAGCACCGGCTTAAGCAGAATTCAACATTCAAACATGAAATAGTAAAATTTTATAAAAAAAGAGTTCACCTATCAACTAAAAAATTCTTCACAAAATAAATGTGCTGAAAGCAACATTAAACCACTAAAAATGTCACCTTATTTCATACAATAACACCATTAACAATAGTTTTTTGACGCCTTGTAGGCAGGTGTTGACTTTAATCAGTGATCTTAATAGTGGGGAAAAATATAACAATGAATTTGGACTAAATCTGGTGGTTTAAAAGTGGATAACCGAGATGGTCTTAATTCTTGATCATGTAACCATTGATATAAAGAACAGAAAAATGCGTTATTTAATAAAAATGAAGATTATGTATGTTTTGATCAATGTGATTATGTATGTTTTGATCAATGTGGTAATCCACACAAAGTGAAATTATATATATGTACATAATTATGCAAAATAAAACAATTTGCAAACAGCGAACAATAAGTAAAATATGTACTGCAAATATTTGTGCATATTATATGTAATAATTAAAATATGTGCATTCATTATTGTAAAATTTGACGTCAAAATAATAGAAAAAAAAGATATTTTATTACTTTCCTTTAATTACATGAAATGTTATAAATTCGGTGATATATTTATAAATAATTCTTCTTGGAACCTACACTATTGATAAATTTTAATTTGAGCATCATATTTATGATTTAAAACTATAAAAAATGTGTTACAGGACATGTTCTTTCTTCCCTTTTCCCTTTAATACCTCTCCAGTCTTTATTGTACCATCCGTGATTTCATGCTAGTCCATCTTCTCGGTCCTTGCGCCCTTTTCGGAAGAATCTATGATAGTTGCATAAAACAAACCCAGATCTATGACATTGAACTAGGAATGTACACTTCATCAAAAGCATGTCAGCAACATTTTTTATGGTTCATGATGCTGACCTAAAGCATATGTACATAATTTCTGAAATATGAGTTTCTATATATCAAGAACATATCAATTAACGACTAAATGCGTTTGAAATGGAGATGACATATTAATAGAAGGAATTATTCGGAATCCATATTCTGCTATTTGAATCATCAATTTTCGACGCTAAAATATTTTCATTTGCTTTGTTATTTATTTTTAAATTGGCCCCGTCCCACGGGGTCATTGATTTTCCTTCTATGTATGTAGTAAAAACGTAAAGAATCTTCTTTTAAAACACTCATATATTGACAGTATATCGCATTATATATGTCTTTATTCAGCCATTTAGGGTCTCTCAGGTTAAAATTACAGTTGTCATTTCAAGAAAGTAATTTCCACTCTGACCTTTTTCGAAATGACAAATGTCTAGAAATGTTCTTATAAAATTTGAGTGAAATACCAAGACATTTGTCTCTATTAAATTTAATTTTTTTCAGTTAAAAGAAAGCGAAATGACAATGACCCTGTTTGAAGACGCACAAAAAGCAATGAGAATTAAAAGGGCAGCTATCTATTATGAATTTGAACAATGTCTTTGTGACAATGATCCAGAACAGCTGAAAGAATTATTAAAACTTGCAGAACAATTAGGATCGGACCTTGAGTTCATAAATAACCATTTTGATGACATTAAATCACAAAATTTGCGAATCGAAGAACTGGAGAAACAAGTAAATGACAAAAGCTGTAAAATTGAGCAATTGACGTCGATCAGGGATAGCCAACAGGACGAAATCACGAAAATGGAAATCGATATCAAAGCAAAAGGTGTAGAACTTGAAAATTTAGAAAAACAGTTAAAGGAAAAGTCAAAAGATTATGGTGATTTGCAAGCAATCATTGGCGACAACAATACCAAAATTCGAGAATTAGAGGACAGGCTTAACAAACAAATAATTGAAAAAGAAGAAAAGCAAGAGGAAATTACCGAAAACAAAGCCAAAATACGAGATTTAGAAGAAAAATTAAATAAAATAATTATACAAAACGATAGACTGCAAGAAGAAATTTCCAATAACAAAGCCGAAATACGAGATTTAGAAGAAAGGGTAAATGAACGAATAAAAGAAAATTGGGAATTGCAAGAAAAAATTGCAAACAAAAATGCAACAATTTTGGATTTACAAGTAAGGTATAATGACTTAACAAAAGAAAATGGTGAACTTCAAGACGAAATTTCAAAAATCAAAGTCACAAATACTGAACTATTACATCAAAATAATAACTTAGAAAGACAGCTTCGTAAACAAAAGTCAGAGGTCACAAACATTTCCAAGAAAAGAGATGACATCCGACAACAACTTGAATATCTACAACACAAGAATGAGCTTCAACGTCGCCAAATTGATTGTCTCGAATGGGAAACTGTTGCTATATCGAGTGGACTTGCTGTAACATCAATGATTTTTTTAAGTTTGTAAGCACAAATCAGAAATATATATTTTATAAAAGGACAAAAGTGAAACTTCGAACTCAGTGCTGTACATATTTATTGCTATCGATAATTAAAACATAGTTACTTGTTGAAAGTTAATACATTTAGATATGAGTTTGTGTTTGAGTCTAGAGTTGGAAACTGATGATACTTCATTAAAATTTGCTGTTGGAACAGTAGTACAATTAGGTTACTAAGCATAAAGCAGAAAGATTCATTTTTACGAAAGCAGTTTAACAAAACTACAGTTGATGTCTATAACTAAAACCATGAGTACTTGTTTAAATACAGTTTTTATTGTGTTTAGACTTGCACTTCTTTCCGAAGAGATTGATTAACATGCACTAACACTAATTGCAAGTCATTATCCGTATTTTAAACATGCATTTATTTTGTAATATTTAGATAACATTTGTCTTTAAATAACTGGTTGTTAAAAATCGTTTATTGAATGAATATGATTTTTTTATACTTGAAAGGATAATTCCTACTTGATGCAAAGGAAGACTTTTATCAATTAAAATGTGCATGACAATATATTAAGTTGACTTCTTTATAAGTGCCAATTTGATTAATAAATAATTTCAGATCGAATTTTATCTCATGATAAGTGTTTTGATCCGTTCTCAACAATTACTTGGCCGTTAGAGTTTTCCTAAAAGTAAGCGTTTAACAGAATGTTTACGATTAAGACAATTTACTTATATATTCATATAGGTTTGTGAAAAATATTTGCATCTACAAAATACCTTTCAAAAACACTGGACCCCAAGAAGGATACAAGAACGTGAATTACATCGATTATGAATAGACCGTTATTGAATGGTAATAAATATATATATATGTACAGGTGGCATATGACTGTCTTTGTGTAATTGTATGTGCTTGAATTGTAAGTGCGGAGGACAATGTACCAGTCACAAATGTATCTCGGCAAGAATCTTTGTCTTCCGAGAATGATATGAACCAGTAAGCTCCTACTACAAATTAAGCCTCTTATATGTCTGATATCTATTGACATGGATTTCTTAAAACTTGGAATGATTTAAATAGCCATTCTCTTGTAGGAATGAATATCAAAATGTCAATAATTCCAATCTTACCAGTATTGTATGTACGACCAAAATTAAAAGTATTTCCCAGTTTTTTTCTTTTTAGACTGACTGTACATCTGATGACATTCCTATATGATGGTGAGAATAAAATGTTTCTTTCCTTGATCATGTTGATTATTTATACTTTCTCGTTGAATACAGTTTAAGATTGGAAGTTTGAATTGTAATGTTTTGTCAATAATATAATTTGAATTCTCAAGAAACATAAATGTCACATAGGAACTTCCATAATAATCAAAATTACGGGAGCATTTTCATAATCATAAATTCTAATCAAGTGATTTTTATATCACATAACACTATTACAGTAAATTGCAGGCAACAGGTGATTGTTGGTACTTAAGACAGCGGAATAAGATTTTATTCACAGTGCTAAACATTAAGCAGTGACAACTCCCATCTTTTTGTCTCCATAGGACGGGTTTTTCTACCAGTTACACTACGGATTTGGAATCTCTCAAAGAAAGTAATACACAGTATTGCCTGAAAATGAAGATCATAAATCAAATAACTTATAGGCTACTGGTATATATTCAAATTTAGATTTTATTTACATATCTGTAAGGCTAACCATTAGGTCGCCATTCCAAAATACATTCATTATTTTATTTGAAGATATCCCCTGTCTGGCCATTGGCATAACAATAGTTTGCCAATAATGTCACCAAGTCGTTGTCATTAACATGAGCCCATGAGGCATTTATGTGCAAATATGTTACCATGTAAATATTTAAAACAATTGAATATCAGGCAAGATTATCTTCGCATGCGTAAATTGAAACATTAAGCGAGCTAAAATAAATATCTAGTAAAAAGTGATCCATTTGAAGCATCAAAAACAGCAAAATTGCATGATGATTGCAGATTCGGTTATTTGAGTCTGTACATGATGGATAATGAACATGTGCTACATCCCTTACGCCCCTAGCACCAGCTTGAGCGGTACTAAATTCTCAACACTTAAAAGAGCTGCCGTCATCGATATCGAAGGACACGAAATTATAACAACACTGAAGTGAAGTGCGGGGCAATTTTTACCAATGTGTACAAAACACATAAGGAACCATAAACAAAACAAAAACAAAACATACGTCGGAAGTGACGTTACAGTCAAATAATATGGTAAGACGTAACATAGATTATGGCGTAAATGTTTGTATATGTAGTTATTTTGCAGGCTTTGGTTGTGATCATGAATCATTCAAATTAACATTTTCTTGCTATTCCGGCCGCGTAAGATCCACAAGTTACATAAAATGCATGGATCCTAATCGGGAAAACCAATTGACAGAACTGATTAGAATGCAATCTTGAGAAAAAGATCAGAGGTTAAACTGTGTAATGAACAGATTAAAAAAATTACAAAAAGACAATATATCCCATGCCTTCCATGGGTATGTATGTTCTAGTATGTATAATCAAATAAGAAATATAACAAAAAGATAGGAAGCAGGGAATATCTTCAGCAAAATATGGAAAGTTACTTACGTCGTAATCTTTGCGGGTAAAGTATCATTCTTTATGACTTGAACCCTCTTATGTGAAAATATTGTCATAAATTATTTTGAAATGTATAATCCAAGTACATGTACTCTTAACGTAAGAAGATTATCAGGTTAAACAATACTGACAAAAAAATCTTATTAAAGAGGATAACATCAGGACAGTTGCACCTAGCAACTAGAATTTCGTTTATTTCGTTAAATGCCCGGTAGAAACCGAGAGTCACCTGTAATTGATTTTGAAAATGCATCAGGTTAACACATACAAACATATTTTGTGAAATAACACAAACAACTTGGCTCTATCTTTATGCTATACCACAATGACACGTAGTGTCACCTTGTAGTGAACAGCTATTAGAAATCATTAAATTGGTCGTTTGAATACTAGTATCCTACATAATATTCTGAATGAAAGGACAAATCAATTTAAAACGAATTTATAATCCTGCGCAATTATTTCCCTTTGATAAGGCAAGAACAAAACGCAGAAAATGTGCACTATCCATGTACATTATATCGGATCGTTTTACCTTAATAGCGCTAAGACACCCCGTTGCACTGAAAGTAAATTGATGAAATAAATAATGTATTTAATGGCGGATTAAAAGGCTGGTAATTCTTTATGAATATCGCACCTTCTGTGGCACAAAAACAAACAAACAATAAATGAACAACACAATTTTAAGAAACAACTTTGCAGTAATATAGCCTTTACTATTCAAATGCGTGTAAAAAAACGCCTCTAAATAGTTTAAGAATATATATTTTGTTTGTTTTAATTGGGGTTTACGTCACACCGACACAGTATAGGTCATTTGGCGACGTTCCATCTTTACTGGTGGAGGAAGACCTCAGGTGTCCTTCCGTGCATTATTTCAGGCACGAACGGGCACCTGAGTAGAACCACCGACGTCCAGTTTAAGAATGTATGTTTACAAACGATGTATAAAGTCATTGTAGTATGCAAGATGATTAAGTTTGTTTGTTCATGCGGATGCCCGTAAGGGTCATGGGGTGTTTGTTTATACATACAAATAAAAGAAAAGAAAGTAAGAGGCAAAGCTTGTTTCGTACCATTGTTTTATAAATCTGTACTTTGAATATATCATTTAATTTCATTGTTTTTTATTCCGCTTATTGTCTGTTTCGTGGGATGTACAAATAGGATTTAATTTTCACTTTTAACCGGGCAGATTCGTGTGAATTGAAATAAAACTTAGAAATGTTTCATTTGAAGTAACATTTATTGATGTCTGTAAATGTTCTTACCCAAATCATAAAGTCTATTTGAGCACTATGTTGTTATATCTACTCTAACTTTGTCATATCTACTCTGACTTTGGTAATACAAACATACAAGAAACATTTTAAAAAAAAATTATTTCAACCATATAACGACAAAAGTATGATACGAAAACGTTTAAAGTCATAAGTTGTGTAACAGTTCTTTAATTACACATATAATTATTACCGGGGAAAAAGTAATTCCCTGTATGGTATTAATCTGTTGATAATTTGTTAAAACAAAACATTTTAAGGACCTTAATAAATGCTGTAGAAGTTATATCAGTGAAAGAATTAAAAAAAATGTTGAAAAAGAAAAGACTTCTTTTTCACTAAATACATCCACATATGGCACAGGTATGTATATCCGTCGTTCACTACACGCATCTGAATGACATTAAGACAATCGTCGTTCACTGCACGCATCTAAATGTATTTAAGGCAACCGTCGTTCACAACACGAATCTGAATGACATTAAGACAATCTATTTTGTTAGTAATGTATGAATAGAATAGCATTATCTATAGGGTCAGTAAACATCTTTTAAGCTTTTTTTTAAGGAAGCAGCATAACTTCCTCCAGCACCGATATAAAAAAATCGAAATGTACAAAGTGATAACCTGTTGAATTTCAACACTTTCCATGAAAATGTTTTATTTCAAATGAACATTTTTCTAATAATAATTTAACTAATATTTAAATATGCACATGTAATCAATTAAATAAGACTTTTGACTTAAGTTCCTCCCTCACCCAACCACTTTCGGTTACAGTTTGAAAAGAGTTGATATTTTACACAATAAAGTGTTGAGCTCTGGGTCAGACCATAAACATTGAATTATGACACAAATTGTTGTTTTTAAAGCATGACAATATTCCATGTTTACGATGTAGACTCATAGTCACAAATTTATAAAATTTCTACTAAAGACATGTAAACAAAAATAGACGCGTTCTAAAAGGAACACACAAAACACGTAAGTAAATAATAATAGTCCAAGAGATGGCGGGGTTTTATTGCAATTTACCGTATCACCAAAAGAAACGTTGCCATTATAAAGTATATTGTTTGTAGCTTCTAAAAACCCATTTCTTAAGTTACGCAGCCGGGGCAAAAATATGAAAATTCAAGATGGCCGCCAAAAATTACAAAATACCATAAAACTTTTGTTTCTTGATTTTTTTACATACGGATTTTGTACAATGTAGTTTTAATTGCACAATATCAGGTAAAATATGGCTACTTTATGATTCAATCAAGCAAAAATGACAATTATATGGCAAACTTTAAAAATATCACTATCAATTTACCTAAAATGTGGTAAAAAAATAGCATTTTTTGATAATATGATGACTTTCGTTTTTCCGTATTAACACAATATAAATGGAATTGCATTGAAATTGTGTGTACTTTATCAATTTAACACAACTAGACAAGTTAAGCATAAAAAATCATTATCTGAGTCTTAATCATGTAAGAGTAGAGCTTTAAAAGTGGGTGGGGTAAAATTACCGAAAAAATATTTAAAATTACAATGTTCCCAAAACATGCCTTTACATTATAATTTCAGTTTAATGTAAAGGATATTGTGTTTAAATTGTATGTTATTTGTCATTTGAACATTTCTTGAT